AGAAAATTTGTAAATAATTGAATTCCTGAGAAATTTTTATTATTTTTGAAAATAATTTAATGTTTGCGTACTATTTTTCGGAATTTGAAATTGATTTGAAAATAATTGAACTTTGGGGAAGAATTTTGTTATTTATAAAGATAATTGGGATTTTGACGAGAATTTTTTTTAAATTTGAAAGATTATTGAATTTTATGAGAAGAATTTTATCACTCTTGAAAATAATTGAATTTCTGCAATTATTTGTAATTTTTCCAAAATTGGATTTTTTTTAGTGTTTTCAACAAAAATTTGAATTATAAATTTTTAAATTCTAATATTTTTAAAATTGCTAATTTTATTCTAAAAAGTTAGCCGCAATATTAAAAAAAAATAAAATACTAAAAAAAATGAAAGTCTAAAATGAACTAAATATTAAAAAAAACTAAATACTAAAAAATAGAAAAATGCTAAAATGAATTAAATATTAAAAATACGAAAATACTAAAAGAATCAAAAATACTAAAAAGAACTAAACACTAAAAAACTAAATACTGAAAAAAGGAAATGCTAAAATGAACTAAGTATTAAAAATACGAAATACAAAAAAGAACTAAACACTAAAAAAACTAAATACTAAAAAATGAATCACTAAAAAAACTAAATATTAAAAACCTGTAAATACTTTGAAGACCAAAAAATTGTTCCTTCAAACTTAAATGTTTCGAAATCAAGGTTTCTGAAGTTAGCGTCGACGCTCAGAGTAAAAAAAAATATTTTCTTTTCACAAAAAAAAATATTAAACAATTTTTTCAGTGATGAAATTTTTATAATTTGAGGTAAATAAAAATATTAGTGCCATTTTCAACACTAAAAACCACAGAAAAACAGTTTTTTGACGCTTAGCGTCGACGCCAACTTCCGAGTTATTAAAATCAACAATTAAAACGTCACTTTTTCTTAGACAAATGTTATATTTACATTAATTCGACATAAATTAAAATTACTAATAACATTATAATGATATCTTGAGTCCAAAGAATGTGACTCGAATTCTTTGAAATATTCAGATTTAAAATGTAAAAACTTCAGTGGTTAAGATTGATTAAATTCATATACATTTTAACGCAAATGAGGAGAAATTTAAATTATTCTTGTTGCAATACTTCAGCCAATATGTGTATAACCCTGACATTAACTGCACTTAAAAAAAAACTGCTCTTCAATATGTATCGGTCCTGGAGGTTATCATTGATAATTATATTGTGGTATCGCTTCGAAAATTTTGTCTTCAATACACTTTTCAATGAGTTACGCAATTGCGACATACATTTTTTTTATGTAAAAAAACATTATTCAATAATAATAATAATATTTTGTAATAAAGGAGACCTAAATACGTATTTAGGCCTTCTTTATTGCAAAATTATTATGCAAAAACGATTTTCACATAAAACAAATAAAAATATTAATAATGATAATATTAATAATAATATTAAAAATAATAATGACAATTAAAATAATAGAAATAATAGTAAAAATACTTTATTCGCAAGTTTTGAACGTTTAAAATGAACGAAATATTAATTATTAAAAATATTTTCACAAACTACTGATTGCAATAAAAATTAAAAACTTAAATTTTACATTTAGTAACTTTATGATTAACTTTTTGGACACCTGATAAAATATTATTGAAATAAATTTTTTATTTAAAGAAGAAATAAATAAGTTTCGATCATTTTAACGTTCAGAACTTTAGGAACATAAAAAATAATTAAAATAGTAATAAAAACAATAATGAATAATAATAATAATAATTAAAAACCACATATTCCATAATTAGACGGAAAAATTAGATCACGAAATGCTGATGATATCATTAGGTTATGGTCAAGGTTAATATTTTACATAATTATTATATAATCAAGAAGTGTCATAATGTCGAAAAAATTCTTATTCTTTATATTTTTATTTTTTTCCTATTATTATCAGGACTGATAAAATTATTATTCTTTTATTAATTTTTACTATTGTCTTTCTATTTATATAGAAAAATATTAAGAAATTCAATAATCTTGTAATACATATAGTAATCTAATAATTATTATTAATTTTAATTTAATTTATTACTATTAGTATCAATTAATTTAATTTCCATTATTGAGTGAAATTTAAAGTTTCATTTAAAAAATAAATTTAAAGCATAATTTGCCTACAACCTTATCGAAATATTAATTCATTGTGCTTTACTGCTGTGTTTAGAATTTTTTACAATCCAATAACCTTGAATTTGTTAATTACCATCTTTGAATTAGTTAATTGCTTTGTATGAAGAAAAGAACAATATTTGAGTAAATTGAACTTTTAACGCGATTCCATATTTATATTTATTCTAATCTCACTTTATCAATTAATGAATTTTCATGGTCACGAGATTAAAAAAAAATTTCTCTAATTGTATATTCAATCATTCAAATGTTTATTAATAATCAATTTATAAGCAAAAACGCTATTACTCATCGTCACATTATTATATTTAATGTATAATATTATTGTTAATTATTGTTATTGATAAATAATAATAATTATTATTAATACCTATTATTTTTATTATTATTATTAATATTACTGTTATATCTTTTTAATTATATAATTATGTATTTATTTACATATAATGAAAGAAATTGTTTCAAGTGATTTTCCAAAAGTTCTGAAAGTTCAGATATAAACGAATTTTTTTTCTGTTTAAATATTTTTCAAAGCTTACTAACTAAAATAGAAAAAATAATGTAAATTATGAATTTTTACTTAATTGAGAAATAATTTTTTAATCTACGAAAATTAATTTTTTTGTAAAATTACAAACTATAAATAAAGTAAAAAACATGTTAACTTAAACGTTCGAAACTTATCAGCCTCAAGTTAGAAACATTTTTAAAAACGAAAAATTAGAAAAGAATTATTGTTTCTAATTAATTCATCTTTAATTTAAATGTTAAAAAATTTTAAAGAAATTAATTCGTTTTTAAGGAACGAATTAGAAACTAATTAAAAAATTTAAAAAATTAAAAACAAATTAAACTAAAACAACAACAACAAAAACAAAATAACTTAATTTTGAAGCCAGAGTCATTATATTTTAATTTTCGTTTTTAAAGAACGATGGTATTTTCCTACTATTTTTAAATTGTTTTTTTGGTGAAAAATTCTTTTGTTTCTTAAAAATTAAAGTTCTTAGCTAAGTAAATGTTTAATTTTAATTAGGTTTCTTTTTTGTATAGTAATTATCGAAGAAGTATTTAAATAGAAAAAAAATTTCATTCATTTTGTATGCAGTAAACTTTATGATCCTTATACAAATTACAACTTTCTTTCAATAAGAAACGATTCAGGTAACATAACCTATAGTCAAAATGAATTTATTTGATTCAAATAATTTTTAATTCAAATAAATTATCTTTGCATCAATAATTTCAGTATTTAAAGCAAATATCATTTAAATGACTCGAAGATTAATAATTGATACAAATAAATATTTGTTTGTTGCAAATAAATATTTATTTGACAATTAATAGACAAATTAGTCGTTTATTATTCCATCAAATAAAAATTATTTATTGCAAATAAATATTTATTTGCTAATAGATAATTAATTATTACTGCATAAAATAAATTTTCCTTTCAGTGTAAAATTTCACAAATATTTCTTATTGAAATTGTAATTAACTATTACTAATTATTGTAATTTTTATTTGAATTCAACTTTAAATTGTTTAAAATATTGAAAATTACATTCTTTATGCATCTACCAAAACGAATAAAAAAATTTAATTTGACATCTTCTTTTAAAATACGAAATTATAACATTGGACTAACTTATTCTGTTTCGATTGTTTGTTCGATTCTCTCTCAAACAAGACCTCATTTTTTATTAGAATGTAAAAAATTGTAAACTTTCAAATCATTAAACACTGAAAAAAAATTTATTTGATTCAAATAACCGATTACTTTTCTATTATCGATTAAATATTTACTTGAATCAAATAAATTTTATTTAAGTCAAATAAATTCTATTTGAACTAATAATTTCAGTTTTTGAAACAAATAGAATTTAATTGACTTAAAGAAAAATTATTTGATTAAAGTAAATATTTATTTGATAATAGACAATTAATCAGTTATTTGAGTTATTATGTTTAATATTCTAAAATAATTTTTAGTTGACCATATAACAAATATAATTATGTTCGATTCAAATATATTGTTTTCTCAGTGCAAATACATTCTTTTTTCAGTAAAACTTTAGAAATATTCTTTAATATACAATATACATACACTGAAAAAGAAATTTATTTGATTCAAATAACCGATTAATTCACTATTATCAATTAAATATTTACTTGAATCAAATAATATTTTTTGGAGTCAACTGAATGATATTTGAACCAATAATTTCACTTTTTAAATTTTTTGAAGCAAATACCATTTAATTGACTCTAATAAATATTATTTGATTCAATTAAATATTAAGTAATCGGTTATTTGAATTAAATAAATTTTTTCCAGTGTAAATAAATTCGCAAAGTTATTTTCCCTTTTAGAAAATTAATCCCAACACCGGGAGAAAATTCTATTTAATCCAAATATTTCAGTTAAATAAAAGTTATAATATTTGTCTGGGAGCCAAAGATTTATTTGTTTCTTATAAATAACAATATTTATTCGACCTAGAAAAAAATTTTATTGAAACCAAATAAATTTTTATATGTAAACCAAATAAAATTGATTTTGAAGAAAATAAAAAATTTAATTGGCTTCGAGTCAAATATATTTCCTCTGTGTATAAAATTCATTTTCAGCTTGCAATCATCGATCAAAAATAACCGCGCGTCTATACTTCCAATCAATAAAATCAAAAAAGATATAATTATTTTCCTCAAAAATCCAACAAAAAGAATTTTCCTTTCTCGTTCTCGACGTATATTTATATTTTTGAAAACAAAGGAAATAATCCTCACCAAGATCGGGAATGGAGCTAGTCGGCTCCTCATGATGACCTTTGCCTTCATTCGATGGTCTCGGTCTCGGCGGCGGTGGAGGTGGCGGTGGCCGCATGCTGGAGGTTGAACTGACAACGACAGAAGGAGGCGGTGGTGGTTGTGGTGGTGGCGGAGGCGGCGGTTGTCCCTGTCTCAGGGGATGTGTTGCTCTTATTTGATTTTGAGGCGACATTAAAACCGTTTCGCCTCGTCCATGAATTGTCTGCTGTGGCTGTTGCTGCTGAGGCTGCTGCTGCTGCTGCTGGCTAGGTCTAGGGCACCAGCCATGCAAAACTCTAATGGCGCTTCGCACTTCCGCCTGCAACTCCGCCGCTCTATCTCTCGCCGTATGAGCCACTTTTGAGCCTTAAGCCCGCACTCGCGGGTCACACCAATAGATCAACTAAATTCCACGAGACACCAACATGTGACCACTTGTCCACGTGGTACAACTCAACACTTTTTGCATTCGACGAGTCACTCTCTGTGTTATTTTTTTCGCTTCCTTTCTCTCTTTCTTTCGCCTTTTCTTTTCGCCACTAAAACTGTCTCGAGACACTATTCACACTTTCCCTAAAGACACTAAATCACTTTTTTGCTTTTTGCTCAAGGAAGCATTTTTTTATTTTCCTCTTTGTTTATTATTTTTTTATTTAGTATTTATTTCTTTTGTTTATTCAGTGCTTTATTTAGTACTTTATTTATTTTGTTTATTTATTATTTATCACTTTATTTATTCACCGTTTTGTTTTTATTCACTTTCTGTTTGTTTTCCTTTTTCCCTTCTTTCCCCAAACAAAAATTTCCCTTTTTTCGCTCGTTCGTTTCCCTTTTTGTTTACTTTCCTTATATTTTTTACTCTATTTGTTTATTTCCCTTTTTATTATTCACTTTTTTATTTATTTCCCTTTTTGTCTCTTCCCGTTTTGTTTATTTCCCTTTTTATTTTTTTCCCATTTTGCTTATTTACCTTCTATTTTTTTCTTTTGTGTTTATTTCCCTTTCTATTTTTTTTTTTTCCTTTTTTTCTATTTACCGTTTTTTCCTATTTCCCGATTTTCTAATTTCCCTTTTTGTCTTTTCCCGTTTAGTTCTTTCCCTTTTTACTTATTTTCCTTTTTGTCTACTTTTTCTCGTTTACTTCCCTTTTTTATCAGCGTTTTTTTTTTATCACCGTTATTTTCAATCTTATACCCCTTTTTCATTCACTTCACTGTTTTATTTATTTTTTCACTGACTTGCAAAAATTTTTTCTGTTTTCCTCAATTTGCACTGGACACAAATATTTTCCAAAAAAAAAAAAAATATTTGGATAAAGTTCCGATTGCTTTTTTCAGAAAAAGGGGGCAAGGAGGGCAAATTCGGGATAAAATGCACCACAAGGCACTCGATTCGATGTTGAAATGCGAAAATAAATGACCACTTTTCAGCGGAGTTTTATATCACATAATAATTATCCATCACCGGCGAGATTATTTATTTATCACTTGAAGAAAAAATGATTAATCCTGTTATCAAAAGAGTTGATGAATCGCTAATAACAATATTTAAACCCTTTCACACTCAGGGTTATCACACACAGAAACTCACACACAAGTATTGTATTATTTCCAGTGAGTGAGCGCTGCTAAGGCTAGAGCGCGAGGCAAGTTTAAGGTCAATGTCGTTCGCGTGCTACCGCACAATTTCAATTCCAAGTCTTTCACTATGATTTTCTCCTCCCAATGAACACTTGTCTCAATTTGAAAAACACAAAAATCCATTTAAACAAACACCGGAAATTTCTGGAAAAGATTTCGCAAACCTCGTCTCAAATCTTCTCTCAAGGTCTCCGATCCTATGGTCAATGTCAAGGTGAACGGCAAATGAAACAGATCCATCGAGAATTAAAAAATTCCTAATAAACTTGATAAGATGGAAAAATTCCTTTCATTCAGTCACGTGGTTCACTTTTTTCTTTTTTTTTGACTCTTTTTTCAGTATTTTCTGAAGAGTATAATCTCAGTATTTTCTGAGAAGTAATTCGAAGAAGTGTTTCTAAGAAAGAATAGAATTTGAGAGAGAAAATAAATTGAGAGAGAGTTTTGTATTATTTTGTTTTCCTTTATTTTCGGGTGATAATACAATCACTGTGTCACTCCGATCAAACTTTAACCGAGGACCGTCGTCGGTGCCGGCGAAAGTGAGAGTGTGGCCGGCCGTGTGGATCCAGCGGTGCATAAGCGGCGGGCGGGCGGGCGCTTCGCTTACCCCACAGTCATTCTCTGTCTGGTGCCCTCTCTCTCTCTCACTCTCTCGCGAGCACGCTCGAAAGCCGCATGGTGTTTTATATCGTATGGCACATATCACTATATCTATATGGCAAAGGATATACAGTCAACTTCACCGTGACAAGAGAGCGCGCAACGCGCAGAGAGACCTATGGCGTTCAACGTTCCGCAAGGAGTGGAGAGAGGGGGTAAAAATGGACGCACACCATGGATAGTCGGAATACGACCCCACACAATCTCTCTCTCTCTCTCTCTCTCTCTCTCTCTCTATTTTTCTCTCTTTCCCCATCTTTCTCTCTTATCACCCTCTTTGTCTTTTTTTGTCACTTTCTCTCTCTCTCTCACCCTTTTTCTCTCTTTTCCCTTATTCTTTCTTTCTCCCTTACTCTCTTTTACCCTTTTTCTCTCTTTCTCTCTTTCACCCTTTTTCTCTCTTTCTCCCTTACTCTCTATTTCTCTCTTTCACCCTTTTTCTCACCTTCTCTCTTTTACTCTCTTTCTCTCTCTTGGAGCAAAAAATTGCGAATCTTTCTCTCCCTTAGAGAGAAAAAGAGAGTATCTCTCTCTCTCTCTCCTAGAGAGAAAAATTGCGAATCTTTCTCTCTTTTAGAGAGAATAAGAGAGAAAGAGAGAATAAGGGAGAAAGAGAGAATAAGGGAGAAAGAGAGAAAAAGGCTGATAGAGAGAAAAAGAGATGAGTAAGAGAGAGAATCTTATTCTCTCTCCCTCCTAGTGACGCGACAGCTTCTCTCTTTCTCTCACCCCTTCTCTTCCGCACGCCAAAAACTTCCCCAGTGTCAACTATATAAGTACGCGTGCGCTAACACGCGCTTAAAGAAGTGTCTCGGAGCTTTTCATGAGACATTGCACCCTTAAAAATTCCCTCATATTGTGTAAGGCCTAAAGGTTTCCTCTCCAGGTCTAGACAACTAAATCGATCAATTGTTACAGCAACTTACACTGCTATAAATTAATCTGGCTTCCATGTATAAATCGCGCGCACGCTATTTTCAACATTTTCCATTGCTTAGCGTGCGAAAACTGGAAATGAAGAAATTAGCGTCGAAAACTAATTCACAAATTTAGAGATTCGAAAAAGACATACTAATTTCACTTTCAGAACTATAAAAATACTTTTTTGAAATATACTCCTTTTTTAAATAAAAAAAATCTTTAAAAAAAACTTCATTCTTCTTGCTTTTTGTGAAAAAAAAATGTTTTTCGACGCTCAATGTCAACGTCAAGTTCAGGGAGCTTTTTTTTATCTATTCCGACAATTTGCAATTACTTCCCTATGGAAGAAGTTAAAAACAAAAGAAAGAGAAAATCAGTAATTTTTAAATTTTTGCAGAAATGGCGTTAATTTGAAAGTGCTGAAGTTAGCGTCGAGAGTTACTATTATTTATTAGTTAGCCGAAGGATGAAAAAAAAAAATTTTTCTTGCAGAATAAAAAAACTTGAGTCATTTTTCTTCAAAAATATTAATTGAAATTCATCAAAGTTTTTCGATATAATATTATGTGTTAATATACAAATGCTGTACTTTAATAAAGTTTCTATGCATATTGCATTTGTTTAAAAATTGTTTAAATAATAATTCAATTTTTAATCTTTTTCTGTAATCATATAAAATTTAGTCAATTGCAAAATTGATAAAAAACTGCAACTTTCTAGGTGCATTCTGTAAAAAGTTATGGTAAATAACAGCGATAATTTGTTTAAACAAATAAAAAATTTATTGTAACATTAAAATATATAGTATTTATTTGCCATAAAACAATTTTACTGTAAAAAAAATTAAAAAATTTTTTTTTCTTTAAATTTTACTGTAAAACTTTGATGATTTTATTTTTTTTCAATATAGAAAATAAACACCCGAGCAACTTTTAGTAGTCTCGTACATACTTTGATAATTGTTATAAATAAACAAGAGGAAATGAAAAAAAAATTTCATTTTTTTTATTTTCCAAAAGTAGATAAAATTTTGTTCAGTGACTTAAAATCGCGATTCAATTGATACAAAAGTCAAACAGATATTACAACATTACTTATTGTTGGGTTACCCCGGATAACCCTTGGTAGCGCGAAGGTTAAATTTTACCTTAAAAAAATAAAAATCTGACAATAATTTCAAAATTTCTTGAGTGTTGATAAATTAGCAAAGAAATTTTTGGACATAGTCGAATTTAAACTTTCGTAGGCGGTAAAAATAAACATTAAAATATCAATATCGCCAATATATAGGAATATTTTGACTTTCTGTTTCCGAACTTTGCTGTGGCTCACTTGGTTAGAGAACTCAAGTATCAAATAGTGTGACGAAGGTTCGCCTCCCACCAAAAATGTTCATTTTTTCCATAAACTTTAAAACTTGAACGCTTATTAATTTATCACATTTAGAAAGTTATAATCAACCATTATAATCATACTTACAATAACAATTAACGTTATTATAACAATAATTAAAATAACAATTATAATTATTAGAATAATAATTACAATAGTAGTAATAATATTAATAATAATAGTAATTTATTAATAATAATAGTATTAACTATCGTTACTATGGTAAGAATTATAATAAAAATAGTAACAATATTAAAAACAATATAATAATAATAACAATGATAATAAATACAAGAAACAAATATAACATCTAATTTAACTGAAGTCGTGCGTATTGCAAAAAATTACATAATTATCACATAAACAATTATAGAATAAAAAATAACAATTAAGATAAAAATAATACGAATAAAAATAATAAAAATACTAGGTATACATTAATAACCGTATCGATTAAAATTGGCCTTTCAATTATTATTTAATTTCTCATCAAGTAAAAAAAGAAGAGAAAAAATAATAGTAACAACAAAAAGAATGTGTGCGTGTAATAATAACAATTTGTCTAAAGTTTTTTTGTAATTAAGACAAAATACTGCGGAAGTATATAAAATGAGAGATATAGATAAGACTAATAGCTCCAAATTCACTATTTTCTTTTAAAATGAATGGGTAATAATTATAAATTCGTGTGCGTGTAATATACACGCATTAAAGTTTGAAAATTAGAACGATAATATGTATATGAGTTAAACTACTATATATCTTAATATTGTATACGATTACGTAAACTTCTCTTTTATATAAGAAAACCTATACACTTATTACGTAAGAACAATATAATAATCCTCCATAAATTCTTATTCGTATAAGGGAGGAGATGTTTTTCAAATAAGAAAATCAAGAGAAAAAATACAAAAGAAATTCTTTCAATGAAAAAAAGTTTAAAATGATTATGAATGTTATTAATTTTACAGTCGAAATTTGGATTAAAACAAAATTGCGAGATTGGATTTTTCAATCGCTGCAGGGATTATTAGACCTTTAATCGAACTAAATATAATTTCTCTAATGAATTTAATTTAAAATGCAATTATTAATTGA